AAATAAGTTCTGTGGGAATTTTGGTAAAATATCCAGGCTTTCCCCCATATCCTTAAACCCAGATCTGCCACCGTCTATTGGCGGTTCCTTGTTCGCAAAGTGGAGAGGAAATGGCGTACAGCAATTCCAACAATTGTTTGATGGGGATACACTCAAGTCCTTTACTGTTCTAATGTCAGAGTATGGAATTCCGAAACAGGACTTTTATAAATACTTACAAATTCGCCATTTAATAAACACCCTGAAAGGGGAAAAACGCCTGTCTTCAGGGTTAACAGATCTTGAGGAGATTTTGGTAAAGTCAACATCATTAAAAGGAACAATCTCTGTAATTTATAGTGCTCTGTTGGACCGTTACAGCTCTTCCTTGACTCCACTTAGGAATGTATGGCAGAAGGATATGGGACGTGCTTTTGAAGAAGATCAATGGGAAACGATATGTCAGAATGTTTTTTCCTCACTGTCCTGTAATAAAATAATCGAACAAAATTACAAATTCATGCACAGGATGTACCTTACTCCGCTTCGCTTAAGTAAAATGTTTCCTAACTCATCCCCCAGATGTCATCGTTGTAAAACATGTAAAGGGTCAATTATGCATGTTTTTTGGGAATGCAAGAAATTAAAACAGTTCTGGAAGGCGGTACATGATCTAACTGTTAAGATTGTGAAAACCCCGCTGGACATTACACCAACACGATACCTCTTTGGTACAGAATTGGACAAGACACTGGACACCACATGCAGGAAGAGGATTATCATAGTGTCTTATATCGCAAAGAAATGCATCTTGCTCAACTGGAATCAACAAAGACCCCCATCATTCAATCTGTTTAAACAAATCCTCAATGAAACTTTAAGACTGGAACAACGCACATACATCCTAAAAAATAAGGGGGATGCCTTCCGAAGGATATGGGAACCGCTTATGGACCTCTGACACCACCATGTCATGACAGGGTTTGGCATGTTTACATAACATTTACAAAGGATGAACAGTGACCATGGACTGATTTGACCCAATTTGCCGTATTTTATTATCATTACTATTTTATTTCTATATTTTATTTATTTATTTTTATTTTATTTTTATTTTTTGTTGATTTTATTATTATTATTGTCATTATTATTATTATTTCTCTCTCTCTTATGTTAATAAAATGTTAAAACTCAATAAACAGACAATTGAAAAAAAAAAAAAATGTATGTTTTACTTAGAAACATCTAAATTGAAGTGTAATTCTAGTTAAAAGAGACACTTTTGTGTGTGTTTTTGTTATTTAGAAAGCGCGCAGCTCATATTTACATATTTATCTAAACGTCGCTCTCAGCAGCGTGGACGGTAACAGTAAATCGGTATTTATATATATATGTATATTTTAAAGAATGCACTTTAAAAACAACTTTAAATAGTTCAATATTTTCTGAAGATGCAAGTCTGCGGGATTTTTTCAGTTGTTTTATCAAGTCTGAGCAATTAGCACTGGTAAAACTCAACTAGTAAAAGACTCAAACACCACAGATAGGTTATATTCGTAGTATCTTTTCATAAATCTACCAAAACAAATAAAGCATAATTGAAAGACCCTGAACATTGCTCACGGAACAGATCAATTGCATTTGCATTCAAAATGAGCTAATTATCATAAATTACTTTAGCAGTAAGGATCGTCCTTATTGTCTGGCAATAATTGGGACAATTTGACGATTACAATGATGATTATAGCAGCTCTCGGTTCAGCTGCCACTCATATGATTTAATTTCATTTTAATTTCCCATCAACCTCAGTGTCACCAGCTGCCTGTCAGCAAAAGAGAAATAAAGACAAATTAAAGAGTGATGGAAACACACCTGGATATCCTTTGGAGGATATTACGACTTTTGAGATGAAACCTCACTTGAGGTTGTGCTTTACAACAAAAATTAAGTAAAGTAAAAAGTAAAGTAAAATCACATGAAACAGGTTTGAGTGACTTGCTGCTTTTTTTAGAACAATGTCAACAGCAATATAAAAGACATCAATATTAAAAAAATACTTACAATAATAATCACAAACAAGAAAAATGTAGTTACAAATTTCACTTTCCTTGATCCAAAATGCATAATGTTTTCTTACGTTACAGCGCCCCCTATCGCTGTAAATGAACGAGATTTGGCACGTTTGCTCAGACTGTCCTGATGTCCGCTTGCACCATTTTTTGTGAAGTTTGGACTTTCCATTAACAGTTTACAGATCAATTAGTCATTATGGTAGCCTGGTTAAAACCAGAGCATTCTCAGTTGTAACTGGCAAAGCGTCATAGACAAATCATTTCCAGAGGGGCGTCACCAACGGGCGTCGCGGATAGACCTAAACCCAATCAGAGCGATGAAGGAGATGACGTATGCAGAGCGGCGGAGAAACATCTCCGAGTGTTGTTCTTTGCTCGGTTTTTAACTAAAAGGAAACGTTCAAATGGCTTAAAACAGACGCGATCGCTGATTGGAACGAGTGATGTTCGACGGCGGCATCCATCTTTGTAATGTAGGCTACAAAATCTGCTTCAAAATCCCAGCGCTGTCGTCATCGTGTAAAGCCCGCCCCAACGCTTCTGATTGGTGCCTCGATTTCGACGGATTGGAAATGGGCTTGAATGAGCTCTTTGTCAGACTAATGCTTTATGTACACCTAAAGACTTTGAAAAGATTTAGAAAAGACTTTATAAGATTATCAGCTCACATCTAAAGACTTGGGTTCACAGTTTTTAGTCCCAGACTAAAGATTTTACAAACACTGAATCTTGTAGTGACACTATTTACAGGACTACAACTAGATTATTTTAGCTTTTTATTCCCACCAAATTCCTCCCAGCATGCTCAGCAGTGATTTAACAAAAATGGAGGAGAAGCAGCTATAGTTAGCTACTGTATCACATTATGTTGTTTGGTCCAAAATATGTCTGAAGGTAGGCCTACAGTGGTGGTGGTATATAAGATAAGATAGACCTTACATTCCCACAATGGGGAAATTCTCAGTGTTGCAGCAGCACAGTGGATAGTAAAAAAAAAAAATATATAATAATAATGTAAACAATATATACAACAAATAAACAGTGCAGTGATGGCTGCTCAGTGCAGTGATGGTGTTCTGCAGGGGGTGGGAGTCACTGTCCAAATTATGTGATTATCATTATTAAATAATAATAAAAATAATAATAAATTATCATTATTATTAAATTATATAAAGGCAACCATACATCCATGTGAAAAAAATAGGACACCATGAAAGCCTGTCTATTTTTCAACATACGGACATGTAATAACAATTTTAACAATACTGAAGGACCCTAGCCTAGAAATCTAGACGCACCCTAGCGGCAGCAAAAATAATTTTGCAGCAAAGTGTGCATCTTGATGTAGGTCTGGCTTGCCAGGCTAGAAGGACCCAGTGATTTTACTAAACTATTTAAAAATAAGGAAGGCCTTTTTAAGACTCTCTATGAAATGTAATTTTAAAAGAATGCAATTTTTGAGGAGGAATAAATTAGGACACCCCCCATATATTTCCCCCACACTGCTTATGAGTGTGGAAAAGGATTTAAAAAGATATCAAAGGACTTTGACATCAGCCATTCCACCATTTTACCTCACTGAATTAATTTCAACAAAGGGGGGTATCACTAGTTATTAGGGGTCCTAATTTTTTCTTCCATTAAAATAGGCATTTTTATGCATATTTTTTGTTTGATGAGTAAAAAAATATTCATTTATATTGTTTAATTACAATAAATCACTTTCTTTTCCAGGAATGAGAAAACATCAAATTAGACATTTATTAATAAAGAGTTGACTAATGGGATGACAAGCTCGACAGGGCGCTCCTCTTTATCCACGGTCCATTTTCGCCTACTTGGCGCTCGTTGTGTTTCCACGTCCGTCGACATGTTTCTTTGTTGTGACTGATGGCTTCCTGTTTCCTGTTTCCGTTTTTCTGAGAACGATTTTATTGGTTGTTGATTGTTTTACGTCACTATGACTACGCTAGGACTTGCGATAATATCAAACATGTTTGATATGAAAGACTAGAGAAAGACTGGCATAAATCGGGTCGCCGACTGCAGATTATCACCTCACATTTAACAATCGAGACGACGGGAGCGCGCCGAGATTCCAGTAAGATTCCTAAAAACGGCCGGCCTTTAGTCTGGGACTGTGAAAATCCTTTGGTGAACGCCCGGCATAACTTTCAGAGCAAATCTAAATTTGCCGGAAGTTGTCTGGGTTTTCCCAGGCTATCATTATGGGTCACATTTAAAACATGTTGGCTCGAACCTGCCAAGCAATGACATAAATTTCAAATTTTAATAATAAATAATTAACATCCAATAATAAATTAGAACCATCTCTTGATATTACATGGTATACTTGTTGGACCAATGGCTAAACGGGTTTGAAAAAGTGAAAACTCAAAGTGAAAAAAAATGTTTAATTGGGAAAATATAAAGATTCTGTGGTTCTTGAGGCTGTTGTGGATATTTTTGTTGATTTTACCCGATCTATATCTGCTATATTTACACTTAAAATGCATTTATCGAATTCAAACCAAAACCAAACCAAAAAATTCAGTCCAAATGCAAACATGATGGAGTATTCAGAAGGGTTTAGACTGTGGTTCTGGAGATGAACTATTCTTCTCTTCTGTAGAGCTGCTTCACAGTTTAAATTAAATAATTCATAATTAATGAATTTTACAACATTAACCTCTTTATACTGTGAAGCTGCTTTGAAACAATCAGTATTGTACGTGGAGCTATAGACACAAATGTGACTTGACTTGAGACCGATTGGCTATTGGCACTGCTTTATTTACTTTTAAAATGCATAAATCATAAGTGCAATCTTCACGAGAAAGGATACAAATGCAGTCCAAAGATGGATCAGTTAATTGAGTTACACTGACCTCCTGATGTGTAGATGTCAGGCACTGCGTGATGTGTGTGTGTGTGTGTGTGTGTTTCAGTGTCTCTTCAGGACATCACGATGAGGAAGGCTTTCCGCAGCTCCACTATCCAGGACCAGCAGCTGTTTGAGCGTCAGTCTCTGCCCGTCCCGATGCAGGAGACGTACGAGCTGTGCGAACAGCCTCCGCCGCTGAACATCCTCACGCCCTACAGGTCAGAAACACACTCACAACTCTCGAAAATAGTGATGTAACTTATGACACTGCACAGATAAAACATTGTCAAAGTAATTCCGGTTGACATGGAAACGCGGAATTGATAAATAATTCTGTATTTTACATATTTAAGGCCAGACAAGTAATTTGTTGAGGTCAATTTGTAAAGAAAGACACGCCTGCGCACATATATAATCACACGCGCATACCTATAGACTAAACACGATACGCATGTGCGCGTGTTTTTGAAGTTTGCGCAGAGATAACCTTTTTTTCTAAATTTTACAAGGCTTGCACCTTCGAACCTGTTTCAAGGTTTGCGTTCTCGAGCCTCAAACACTGTTGTGCGAGTGAGCGGCCGGATCGCATTAAAGTGTAAATTGCAGGTTAACCACCACAACCAATTAATGTGTAAATTAAAGTGCTCAATGTGTATATATGTAAAAATGTCTGTCTTAAAATGCGTTAAAATAACATTTATTGGGGTTTCTTCAACGGTAGCATGTTTTTTACCGTAACTGGGTGATGACGTCATAAGAGGGAGCGCGGGCGGTAATGCACTCACTCTGTGTGTGCCGGTTGAGGGAGAATAAAACGATTCGCGGGACTCCCGCAAACTAGAAATATCTATGAATAAAACATAAAAACGAATACATTTGTATTCATCTGTTGCAGAAAAGCAATAAGAACAACTAAAACAAAATAGAAACGGTTTACAGGCAGAGTTTCTATTTCTAACATGTCTGCAGCGTTGAGCGATGTAGCCAATCACAGACATATGTTGATTTCTTGAACGCAATAATGGCCAATCAGAAGCATTTACGATAGACTTCCCTCACCGCTCAAAATGGACTTTTTGTTCAGTGCTGAATTCTGTATGCTGGCAAATCCTTAAATTATAACAAACATAGTGTATATATTATGAAAGATTCATTGATAATAACAGAGATGTGTGAGATCGCGATGAACTGATGTCAGCTTTTTAGGAATTATTATGGGAGCGCACATTGCGCGCAGTCATGCCAATGCACGCAGTAGCCCGCTTGCTTTTATGTTATAACAGTGATCAGGAGCATGTATGCTCATGTGTATGGTGGCGACACGTAGGCTAACTTGAAAGTATTTGGAGGTACAGAAAAAAAGTCTTTTTCCGGGCGGGAGCGGGACAAAACATAAATGTTGCGGGCGGGAGAAAGTAGTTGAGAACGTCAGTTATAACGACCCACGTATTAAAAAATAGTCGGGTTTAAACCGGACTCATAATTACAGTTAATGTGCCGGGCAGGGCCGAACCGGGCTCAGACACAGCGGGCTCGGGTAGGGTCTTGCTTGATTTTTTTTGGGCCCGATCTAAGCTCTACCTCGGGTAAGTTATGCTAACACTTACAGGCACGAATCAGCCATTTGTCCTTGGGGAACTTGTGGAGCCTCTCCCCCGTTTTTGATGTATTCGTACGTCCCGCACAAACACAATAGTTAACCATTTTTGCTAGCTAGGTCTCCAATATGACGTAACTCCAGGGCTGGAGCATAGACAGTAAAAGCTTGGAGTCCCTGTTATGACGTCACGCCCAGCCTAGTGGAAGGGAGGGGGCGTGCTTAAAACCACTGTAAAACGCACCAACTTTTAATATTATATTCAGCATTTTGGTATAAAAAACATAAAAAAACAATGGTGGGCGGTTCTTATCTTTATGTTTAGTAAGCACATTGCATTATCTTCGTGAAAAATTTTACCTGCAATTTACACTTTAAGCAGGGTTTTCTACTAGAACGGTGTCGTGTTAGCGGCCCCTGAGTTAATAACTAATGATCTTTACAACGGAAGTGAATCAATCACAACTAACTTTATCTGGACAATAACTTTATTCTAGAGCTGCTGGAAAGCCTAAACAATCTGTTACTGTAATCTCCTGTTATCACTGTAAAGCTGCTTTGAAACAATCTATATTGTTAAAGGCGCTGTATAAATGAAGGTATAGACTTGAAGCTTCAAAGCTCATATCGAGTTCACAGTGCAATTCCTCATGAAGCTCGTGCCGGAGCGCGTGTTGTTTTCAGAGAAACACGTGATCAGCGAAAAACGAAGCCTCACTTTCTGTCCAGTCACTGAATGCTTCACTTTGCGTGTCGGGATGTTTGAACCCAGACCACTACTCTACAGGGTTTTGGAAGTTGAAGTCCATTTACTTTTTATTTATTTATAAATAAGCCTATAGCCTATGTTACATGATCATATATTCTGCCATATAAACCATAAAACAATTAAACCAACATTTACTTGCATCAAGCAACTCCTTTGGTTCGTATTAATATAATTATAGCGGCTACTCAATCCAATGATGATACCGCTGAGAGACTAAGACAGGGACTTTATGCACTTGTGACGCATAAATAAAACATCGATGAGGCAAATGATCTTTTACTAGCAATTCTTTATTGCTGGCTGATGTTTCTTGATAGTACAAAGTTTAGTGGTCAACAAAGAATACATCGCCCCTGCTCACCTAACTTAATCAGTGAACAGGTGACTAATATTCACATTCCCACGTAATCCCGTGACCCGCCACCAGGATCACGTGACAATCAAAAACATTAACTCTTTCATGTCTACTACAATAATTGTCACATTTCATTTATTGTCACACCTTAATATGTGAATTATATGATCAGAAAACGGAACATTTAGCGTTGTCAGGCTTTTATTTGTGCTTAATAGATCAAACACCGGGTTTACGGCTGCTATAAACTTGACCTGCCACAAGATGGCGCTGTTTTCGACACTATTAATACTTCGAATCTTTTCCAACAATCAGGGGAAAGCCTCAGTGCTTCATGAGGCTTCATTTGCCCATTTCTACTCTAAAAAATGCAGGGTTGTTTTAACCCAAATTTGGGTCAAAGATGCACAAACCTAACCGTTGTTACGTGAGGTGGAGCAGAGAAGTACTCACAACGAGCAATAACTGGAGAAGGAAGACTTTAATTATCAAACACAGCGGTACACTGAGAAACACTGCCAAACACTAACATCAACCGACAAAGACAGAGGAAGAACACAGGGAATATATACATGGCAAACAAGGGGAGCTAACGAGACTAATTAACAAGACACAGCTGAACTAATGCACTAATGAGGATGGGGATCACGGGAACAAGGAGTGGCGGGAAACTGAATACAACGAACACAAAAGGAAGTCCAGAAACAGACAGACATAACAACCATTGGGTTAAAAATTAATTTTAATTAAAAAATTTAACACAAATGCTGGGTTTATCCTTATTTGACCCAAATTTGGGTTGAAACAACCCAGCATTTTTTAGTGTATTCAACAAATAATCCACCTGAGACTGGCCAGTTATTAGACTTACATTCTATACACTGTTAGAAATGTAAATAAACTTTGAATATTACGAATATTGTTAGTTCTTTTTGCTTTGGATAAAAACATCTGCTAAATGCATTCTTTCGGTTTACCAAGCGTTGTTTGTTTTCTTTTTATTTATTTAAATCCAGATAATTGATTAACAAAACATCGATTGAAATTAAGGTACAAATTATAAAAATAAACTTGTGAAGTGGTCAAAAATCGTCTCTGTCCTTCTCCGTATCTCCCGACATATTGTATTCAATCCATTTCCTCGCCCTTTATGACGTATCCCATTATCGATATTTTCTTTCTTAATTAACAGATTAAATTAAAACAAAACGTAAACAAACAATATCATAAAATTGTAACAAATACATGAAACCAAATAAATGTAATAGTTAAATGGCTACAACATGCATAAATATAAGACAAAGATTATTGAAGTACGCTTTACAAGAAAATATTTTCTTACGTTCTAGCGCCCCCTATCGCCGTAAACGAATGAGATTTGGCACGTTTGCTCAGACTGTCCTGATGTCCACTTGCACCAATTTTTGTGTAGTTCTGACATTGCATTAAGAATTTACAGGTCAGTTAGTCATTATGGGCCACATTCAAAACATGTTGGCTTGAATCTGAGATAAATCAAAATTGTTCTATTTTAATAGTAAATAATGGGGAAAAAGACACATTTTTATCAGGACCAATCTCTCAATGCTACATGCTAAACTTCATGCACATCAGACCAACGGCCTTTGGATAAACAAGATTTACAAGAAAATACTATTTCAGATTCAAGATTTCATGTTTAATTCAATTGTCGGTTCTTTAATTATTTGTGAAATTTACTAGAAAGTCTATATTTTTCAAAGTAAATCATATACCAAATATTTTTCAAACCGCAGTGAAATTAAATGGACATCATCAAATACCTCGCAGATGTTCCTCACAGGTGGAAATCTTAAAGTCTTAAACTTCTTGAGACACCAAAGTCTGCAAAAAAGTCTCAGTACGAACGATGTGAGCTGCTTCATATTAATTGTATAGCTCTATTCTCTCACTGAATGATGAGGACTAGTGACTCATTTGTGTCCGTTTTTGTTTCTCCTGAGGACTTTTAATTGATATTTACAGCTGAAACTCTATTCTTGAGTCCCTTGAGCAATGAAAGAGAGGTAACGTCTCCGTCTTTGCCTTCGTTCATGACGTTCTGCCACTGTTTGCTCATGTGCGTCACACAGACAGTGTTTCTGGGATTAATGCTCATTACTGCAGGCTGGAACATTTATTTTCAGAGCTGCGTAATAATATGCAGGAGCTTTTTTCTCTCCGTCTCTTCACGCGTTTGCTCATTACTTTTCATTATTTCATTAGACATCATCAGCACAGATGTTTCCTCTCCTGTTGAACCATTGTCTTCTACTCTTACACTCCTGCTAAAAATGCTACAAAAGACATCTGTTAAAGAACGAATTCCTCAACTGTGGTTTCGTGTTTGTATTCAATCCTCAGGTTATATTCAACAGAAGCAAATGCAAATTACAAAAAATATCAGTCATACATTTGCAAGAGGAAAATTCACACAATAGTTACATGTGTACTACCATTCACTAGTTGGTTAATGTTTTTAATAGATGCATTTTATTTGATCAAAAATACAGTAAAATTGTGAAATATATCTATGTGAATATACAGTAAAGTGTAATTTATTCCTGTGATCAAAGCTGAATTTTCAGCATCATTACTCCAGTCTTCAGTGTCACATGATCCTTCAGAAATCACTCTAATATGATGATCTGATGCTCAAGAAACATTTATGATTATCATCAGTGTTGAAAACAGTCATTTTTGTGATACTTTTTCTGGATTCTTTGATGAATAGAAAGTTCAAAAGAACAGCATGTATTCGAAATAGAATCTTTTGTAACATTATAAAAATCTTTACTGTCACTTTTGATCAGTTGAAAAATCCTCGCGGAATAAAATTATTAAATTCTTTCCAAAAACAAACAAGAATACTGACCCCAAAATGTTGAACATTGGGGACGGTTCATTTCAAATCAGCCGATAGAATCCTGGACTAAAGCATCGTTACGACTAGTTTATGAAATTGTACTTTCCTAAGTTTGCATTTCTATGTAAGACTCTAAAGCTTGAGTGCTAGCGCATGTGACCGCCTGTCGGGAGAGTCGGGAGGTGTTAATTGCTTCATTTGTGCTGTATTGTTTTCTTTGTTCTTTTTGTCTTTTGCTCATTTGGCATTTTGATCAGCAAATTCAAATTAAAGGAGTGAGAACGAGAAAGAACGTGTGATGAAGGAGAAAGCGACTGTGAGAAACAGAGGAGGTGTAATATCACCCGTTCACACATTTCACAGCTCTCGTGTTCAGACTCCAAATCCTGATCAAATCATCATTATAAGGGGCTGGAATACTGATAACTGATATATATATATATATATATAACATCCCCAGTTATCAGTATTAATACTGAACATAAATACTGAACACTGCCAAAAGACAGAAACATATTGATATTAATTTGATTAATTAATAATATATATATATATATATATATATATAAATAATTGATTAATCAAATTAATATCAATATTTTTTATATTATCAGTTGTTCAATAAAAAAACAACAACAACATTGACACCAAAAATGTGTCAAGCAAGAAATTATATAAAATAAAGGGTAAAACATAAAACTATGTTGCATGTTTAACTCAATGAGTGACATTCAATTACCATCATGACATTTTTTTAAATATTGTATATAATTATTTCTATGTTACATACATAAATCAGTGAGTGATGTCCAATTATCATCATAAAAAAGAATATTATATAATATAAAAAATACATAATATACATAATTATTTCTGTTGCAAGATTAAATCAGCGAGTGACGCTGAATTATAATCATGAAAAAAATTATATTATATAATAATATCATACATAATTATTTCTATGTTGCATCATGTTTAAATCACAGAGTGACGTTGAAGTATAATTATGGAAAAAATATATTATATTATATTAATAATATTATACATAATTATTTCTTTGTTGCATGTTTAAATAAGCGAGTGGTGTCATAATAAATATATATATATACACACACACACAGTGTATAGATAGATAGATAGATAGATATAAACGCACTATTTTTATTTCAATTCAATCTTGTATGAAAATGGCATACATATGGACAGTCCAATCAAAGGGGAGATTTTTAAAATTGTCTGAAATTATGGTTTAATTTATTACATTGAAAGTGGAAAGTGAAGTCAAGTGCATTGCATTGTGGGATACAGCATTAGTATTCTCTTCACTGCACATTTCTGGTCATGTGTGTATTTATACACACTGTGTTCTGCATACTGCTTTAGCTCAATAGCAGTAGTAGAGTGTCATAACACTGAACACACCTGACCTGTGTCCGCCTCTAGGGATGATGGGAAGGAGGGTCTGAAGTTCTACACCAACCCGTCGTACTTCTTCGACCTGTGGAGAGAGAAAATGCTTCAGGACACAGAAGACAAGAGGAAAGAGAGGCGGAAACAGAAGGTAAAAGGGGCGGGGCAGTGTGAGAGGGGCGTGGTCTATATGCAAATGAGACAACCAGAAGGGGTGTGGTGTGTGAGGGGATCGACCACTGAAATACAACATCATACTTTAGACTTTATGGGTTTAGTTCAATCATTTTTCACTCACACATACGCAAACACACACTTATAAACACACACACACACACACACACACTCACACTCACACACACACACACACACACACACACACACACACACACACACACACGCCCACATACACACACACACACACACACTCCCACACACACGCCCACATACACACACACACACACACACACACGCCCACAAACACACACACACACACACACAGAATGAGATTAGCTGATGTCTAGAGCGCTGTAGTTTCTTCCCGTCGTTCATTCATATTAAGTGTGTAAATGGAGTGGAAGTGGGATTGGCTGCATTCGATCAGACAGGACTAGATTACATTAGTCCAGTGAGTGAGTGATGTCTGGAAAACTGCTGAAAGTGCACATCAGCTCACACACACACACACACACACACACACTCCAGACACGTGCTGGAGACAGTAGCGGCTCCTAGCCATTAATTGAGGTCGGGCAGATTCTGGGTCTTAGCGCTAGTTTATGATAAACATTGTAAGCTTTATATCCTAAACACATTAGACACACTTCTGGCAGATTCCTAATGTCCTTGCGTTATTCAGCCTGAGGGTGGCGCTCTAATGATGATTGACATACTTTATTACACACAACAAACCTTAGAATTGCCTTTATGTATTTATTGCGTCCGAAAGTTGTTTTAGAATGTTGCAAGTTAAGAATCCCAGTGAGGAAAACAACGTCATGTCTATTCTCACAAAACACAACAGAACCACTGTATATAAAAGCTATTCACATGAGCACGTTTAACCCTCTGGGGACCAAGAACGCGCCCGCGCGTTTTGCTGTTTTTTTTTCACATAGCAGCAACATAGACTTAAAATACTCCGTCATTTATGGTCATATAAATAAAATCAATACATGATTATAAACTATAGAGGGTCTTCTTTTTTTGTGTACACTCACATTAACATCAAAACCTTGTGTTTTTTTAAAAATAAATCAAATAAACAGGGTGCGCTTTCAGCTCACTCTGTCTCCGCAAAAATCTTTCTGAAACATGTCTGGAAAATGAACGGAAACTCCGCTAATACTTATCACACAAACATGAAACATACGTCTAAAGAACGCTTTAAATTTCTACTTTTAAATAAAACAATTCACATTTAAAACAAATATTCTCCTGCAATGAAATCTGTCAAAAACTAAAGAGAAGTACAGTTTCTCCTGTCTCAGCTCATTATCGTTAATTTGTTCACACCCACTCGCAGAGCGCGCTATTCATAAGATAATGTGTTGAGGCCATTTGCAAAATAGATAAACGCCCCCAGGCAAATGCTGTAAACACACAATATTTTTTAGTCACATTAAGATTCGTCTTGCGCGGCTATGAGGAATAATCCTGGGACATTTACCACAGAAGGGCTGGTTTATTTTCACTTCGAGGAGGAGCAACAGATTCAGCTGAGAACTGTAAGTGTTTTGTGCTTTGTTCTAATCGCGATATAGAATAACTTAGTGTCTGTAAACGGACAAATAGCATATCCTACTGTTTAAATGTGAATTATGTTTCTCTCTGTCTGTGTGTGTGTGTGTGTGTGTGTGTGTGTGTGTGTGTGTGTGTGTGTGTGTGTGTGTGTGAATGAATGAACGCACAGATACGCACTGTTACAGACGAAATAAAAGAACATTTCTTTGACTAGTTTTGGATAAAGTTTTTCAAATCAAATAAGCATCAAATAAGCTTCAAAATAAAGACATCAAATAAGCTTATGTTTTGTCAATAAACTAATCAACTAAGATGTTTGTTCCAATGCAAGCTATATCAAAATAATGAATCCTCAACTTTGAAATATGTATGATCAAACTAAGACATTTATGGAAAAAGACTATTTTCTTTTCAAGATGTTTCCAACTCTAACTTTGAACTGAAATAAAACCATGTCTATATGGTGAAGGGTGTGTGATAGAAGTGTCCAGAGTATGCACCCTGTATTTTAAAGAAGAACATTTAATTATTTGCGATACATTATTCATTCACAAAGAATTCAGGGACATTATTCATTTCCCTAAAGGTTAGAGTTTTCCTCATTTTTTAAATTAAGGCATTAAGATTTTTTATTCCTCTTCTTAGTCAACTTTAGCATGGGTGTTTTCACTTATTCTAAGCAGTGTGTGTGTGTGTGTGTATATACACTACCGTTCAAAAGTTTGGGGTCAGTGAGAATTTTTATTTTTTGGAGGAAAGAAATCAATACTTTTATTTATCAAGGAATAATTAATTTGATCGAAACTGACAGTAAAGACATTTATAATGTTACAAAAGTCTTTTGAACTTCCTATTCATCAAAGAATCCTAAAAAAAAAACTAAAAAAAAAACTGTACAACTGACAGAC